TTACCCCCATCCCCACCAACAGACAGGCAGATGCCTCCAGGATATCCTGATAAAAGCAAAGAGATTCCATTCATATTCATTTTATTACAAAATCCTTGGTACCAAACCCCACCCCAACCCATCCAAGCCACCAGGAAGAGCCGAGCCCCCCAATCCATCGCTCACGGAAGCACAACCGGGATACACGGAGACCTCTTTGCATCCCACCTTGAGGAGCATCAACAGCTCCAGCTCTGCTTCCCACCGAGGTTTCACTGTTGAAGGTGGGACCTCGAGATTCCACATCGGATTTGGGCTTGGGATGGGGAAGACACCACCTCACCCTGTGGAAGGTGGAGCTGCTCCAGCCCGGATCCCAATGGGTGCTGGTGGCATCGGCTTGGCTCAGTTCTTCTTGGTTTTGGGGGTGTCGTACTTCCTCTTGCTGGAATACCACAGCAGCAGTGGGATGCCAATGGAGGGCAGGGTCATCACACCAAAAGCTGCCCAATCCAGCTGCAAGATGTTGGAAGAGTCAACCCAAACCCATGCAGATGAGCCTTAAAACCATCAGATCTTCCCTACGGGGAAGCTCCTGGCTCAAATCCCACCCCGCCAGCTCCTTCGCAGGGATAACCCGGATGCAAAGCGCTTGTTTTGGTGCAATCCATCCACAACATCCCCCCAAGGTACTCACAAAGTGTGGGGAGAACCTCCTGTCGAACTCCCGTTGCGCCAGGATCCCTCCCTGCCCCGGAGCACTGGTGAAACCAACCTGGGAAAGAGGGGGAAAAGCGGTGGGATCCTTCTGGAGCAGGGCTATGGATCATGGCCAGCCTTGGGGTGGAGGTGGGGGGGGATCTGGTGCCCAATGGCACTCACCACAACCTGGCCCCCCTCCTGTGCCAGGTAGGTGATGGTGGCCGAGGTGAAGTTGAAGTAGCCGGCTTTGAGAGGCCGCAGCACCACGGTGTGGGACACGTTGCTGGCTCTGAGCGCCGGGAGTTAAGGAAAGGACTTGGATTCAGCCGAGGGAAAGGGAGGAGATGGGGAAAGAGGTGGAAAAGTCAACCATGGAATCCTGGAATGGGTTGGGTTGGGAGGGGGCTCAACGCTCATCCAGTTCCAACCCCCTTCAACCCATTCCAGCTCCTCGGCATCCCCACAGGGAAGAGCTTCTGCCTAGGATCCCATCTCCACCCTCCCCTCTATCAGGTTAAAGCCATTCCCCTTGTCCTGTCCCTGCATCCCAAGCCCTTTTCCAGGTTTCCTGCAGCCCCTTTCGGCACTGGAGCTGCTCCACATCCTCCTTGTGCTGCCCTGGGTGAGGCTCCAGGGGCGAGGGGGAGCGATTCCACGGATACGGAGCGATCCTGTCCCACTTGACGTTGAGCATTCCAGAGACGATGCCAAAATCTTCCGGAGGGAAGGAATCATCCGAGAGCTCCACATCTAACGCTGCACTGAAGGCGACAAAGAGAGGGATGAGAAGGGGAGCTCAGCCTTGGCATGTGGCACGCAGATGTCCATAGGGATCCCGCAGCAGCGGGGTGAGGTGGTTTGGGAACCGAAGGAGGGAGGTGGGGAGGGAAATCAATGCGATACAGGGAGATGGCTGAAAGAGCAAGCTGGCAAAGGGCAAAAAGGCAAGGCAATGAGGTGGGAAAGAGCTCCCAGAGCCCAACGAGGGAGGCTGTGCCATGGGGAGCACGACACGGACCAAGAGAACAGGGAGAGCAGGAAGGGAACGGGAGCAATCCCAGCTTCCACTTGGGAAGCTTGGAGCCAGCGGGAGCAAAGGGAACAGCCCCTCATGGAGCTCGGGCAGCGGCTCCTGTCCACACACCCCCCCCCCAAAGGCGAGGTTTGCTCCCCACCTGGAGCCCCCATAAAGGCGAGGTTTGCTCCCCACCTGGAGCCCCCATAAAGGCGAAGTTTGCTCCCCACCTGGAGCCCCCATAAAGGCGAAGTTTGCTCCCCACCTGGACCCCCCATAAAGGCGAGGTTTGCTCCCCACAGCCCCCATAAAGGCGAGGTTTGCTCCCCACCTGGACCCCCCATAAAGGCGAGGTTTGCTCCCCACCTGGAGCCCCCATAAAGGCGAGGTTTGCTCCCCACCTGGAGCCCCCATAAAGGCGAGGTTTGCTCCCCGCCTGGAGCCCCCATAAAGGCGAGGTTTGCTCCCCGCCTGGAGCCCCCATAAAGGCGAGGTTTGCTCCCCACCTGGAGCCCCCATAAAGGCGAGGTTTGCTCCCCACCTGGAGCCCACGTTGTAGATGTTGTACTGCAGGGTCAGGTCCTTGCCCTCCACCGCGTAGCGGTTCAGGAGGGCCTTGGAGGCCAAGAGCCGGGCGCCGTCCTCACAGCGGGCCACGGAGCACAAGGCGAAGAGGGAGAGCGCCAGGAGCTTCATCTGGGAGCACAAACAGGAAGGGAAGCGGGGATTTAAGCATTAAATGCCCACACCGGAGCCCTCCGCTGCCCTCCGCTCCTCACCGTCCGGGCCCAGCCTCTCTCCCGGGGTTAAGGCGGTGAGGCGGTGAAGAAGCGGCCGGTGGCTCCAGAAGCTTCGGTGCTCGGAGCCGGGGGTCGCCGCCATGATGGGCCCGAGGCCTGTGCTGGTGCTCAGTGAGTGTCGCTGCCGGGCCCCGAGCCCCGGGGGTTGGGGGCCGGTTCCGTTCCCTTCCGTTCTCTCCTTGCCGCCGCCATGTTGGGGCCATGGCGGCCGCGTGGGGCCCTCAGGCACCGCCCGCCCCGAGGCCTTCACCTCAGGGACCCGCTGAGGAGCCTCGGGTCCCATCCGCAGGGGTGCATGGGGAGGGGGGCTCGGCTGTGTTCGTGCGTTCACAGAACGGGGGGGGTTAAAGGGAGCTTAAAGCTCGTTTAAAGCCGTAGCACGGCCCCAGCGTGGCCTTGAGCGCTGCCAGGGATGGGGCACCTAAAGCTGCTCCGTTCAAGCCATCCCAGTGGCGTGGTGAAGGGGTTTTGCCTACCTAACACCATTGTTCCCCCTTCAGCTCGTTGCTTTTTGTTACCCCGTTTTACCCCTCCATGTGCGCTGTGAGCACCTGGGGTCCCTTTGCTGCCTCCCCGCTCCCCTTTGTGCTGCTTTTGTTCCATCCCTTCCTGGCTTCAGTCTGTGCCCAGCCAGTCTGGGGATGCAGGAAGAGCTTGGAGCATCCTTAGGGCAGAACACACAGGGCTAAAACCGAGTTTAAACCAGGGGGTTCCTTTATAATATTATTTATACACGTATTTCATACATATATATATATGCATATTATGTCATTTTTTTTCCATGTATGTATTTGTATTATGTGCATATAATGTCTTATTATATGCACTTCAATATATATTTGTATTATATATATGTATATTGTAATATTATATGCTTTTATATATACGTAATGTATTTGTATTATATATGTGTATTCTAATACAGTATATGTCTTTATATATCCGTGTAATGTCTGTATAATAATATCTGTATTACATATATGTATATTATAATTATGTGCTTTCTCATATAATAATGGGAGCATCTGGGTTAAAAACTCCTGTGCAGCAGCTTCTGCGTTAGGGTTGGACTGAAAGAGATCAGCTTCAAGCCTCTTTGTACTTCAGTGGCTTCTTCCTTTGCTATCTCCATAGGCCAGAACATGAAACGGGAGTCGGGGAGGAAAGTCCAGACTGGGAACATCACTGCTGCAAAGGTACCAGCTCCTGCCCTCATTCAGTGTGGGTGCAGATGGATCCATCTAAGAGGGAAGAAACTGGGATTTGGAGCATTCTATCCCAAATCCAGAGCAGAAGCAGCATGGGAAAGAGGTCTCAGTGTAACTGAACAGGGAGAGGTTTCCCTTTGCCCAATCTGGAGGTGTTTAAGCTTTGCCATTGGCTTTAGGTGATGCCAGTCCCTGTGTTTCATTCCCACCCCATCACAGCACTGCTGAGAGGTGCTTCCTTCCATTGTCCCCCAGCTGCTTGTTCCATTATGGGGTGGTTTGGACCTTTCTGATGCCCTCCAGCCCTCTTCATGTCCTTTGTTCCTCCTAGACCATAGCTGACGTGATCAGGACGTGTTTAGGACCACGAGCCATGATGAAGGTAAGAGCTTTGCTCAGGACCGTGGGTTGGAGGCTGCGTTGAACCCCCCACGACCAAGTGGTGCTTCTTCTTGGCTTGCAGATGCTTCTGGACCCCATGGGTGGGATTGTGATGACCAACGATGGCAATGCTATTCTCAGAGAGGTGCGTGTCTGGGAGTGGGAATCTTCCGGCTTACCTCTGAATCTGGGAATGGGGTGGAAAGGGACCTTAAAGCTCCTCCAGTTCCATGGGCAAAGACACCTTCCACTAGAGCAGGATGCTTCCACCTGGCCTTGAGCACTGCCAAGGATGGGGAATGGTGCTGGTTCATCCCCTCTGTTGGAAGCAGCAGGTTCTAACCAGCAGCACCAAGAGAGGGGCTTATAAGGGATGAAATGTGTCCAGCAAGCACCCTTCACCCTCTGGAAGAGCAGGTTTCAGCCCTGGGCTTCAGTGTTCCATGGAAATTCCCTAGCGCTGGAATGATGCTGGAAGCTTCAGCTTGCATCTTCTGGATCAACGCCCTGTTTCTTGCTCCTGTCCAGATTCAGGTCCAGCACCCTGCTGCTAAATCCATGATCGAGATCAGCCGTACTCAGGATGAGGAGGTTGGAGATGGGACCACATCCGTCATCATCCTGGGTGAGGAGAGGGAAGGATGTGCCTTTGCTCCAGGGTTTCACCCTTTTGGCCCATCTCAGCTTGATAAATACACTTTAATAGCACAGATATTCATTATCTGTCCTTCCAAAGGTGAATCCTAGAATTCCGGGTTGGAGGGGACCTCGGGGATCATCTGCTCCAACCCTCCCAGGGGCATCATGACCTGGACTTGATGTTCCAACCAGCCCAGTATTAAGTGTCCAACACTGGGGAGCTCATCCCTTCCCTGGGGAGATGATTCCAATGGCTGGTTGCTCTCACTGTGTAAAATTCCTCGTGTGTCCATTGGGAATCTCCCCAGGCTTAACTTGGGCCCATCACTCCTTGTCTTTTCCATGGCATTCCATGCATGTCATCCATGTTATTCCCCAACGGAGGAAGTTTGAGGGATGGGCTTTGCCTTGCAGCTGGGGAGATGCTCTCTGTTGCTGAACACTTCCTGGAGCAGCAGATGCACCCAACGGTGATCATCGGCGCGTACCGCAAGGCTCTCGATGACATGATCAGCATCCTCAAGAAGATCGGGTGAGTTCCTTGGGAAGGGGCTTGGAAAAGAAGGGATTTGGGGGGGGAATAACCCTGTTCCCATCGGGGCAGCACCCCCGTGGACGTGAACAACAAGGAGATGATGCTGAAGATCATCAAGAGCGCCATAAACACCAAGGCCATCAACCGGTGGTGCGAGCTGGCCTGCGGCATCGCCCTGGAGGCGGTGAGGACGGTGGAGCTGGAGGAGAACGGCAGGAAGGAGATCGACATCAAGAAGTATGCCAAAGTGGAGAAGGTGAGCGTGTCCTCAGCCCCTTTTCCCATGAAAACCCAATGATTCCACAGTTCCCAATAGGGCCACGAGGATGCTCAGGGGCTGCAGCACCTCCTGGATGGAGACAGGCTGAGGAAGTTGGGGCTGTTCAGCCTGGAGAAGAGAAGGCTGTGGGGAGACCTCAGAGATTCCAGTATCTGAAGGGGGCCAATAGGGATGCTGGGGAGGGACTCTTCATTAGGGACTGCAGTGACAGGACAAGGGGGAACGGGTTCAAACTGAAACAGGGGGAGTTTAGATTGGATCTAAGGAGGAAATTCTTTCCTGTGAGGGTGGTGAGGCACTGGAATGGGTTGCCCAGGGAGGTTGTGAATGCTCCATCCCTGGCAGTGTTCAAGACCAGGTTGGAGAAGGCCTTGGGTGAGATGGTTTAGTGTGAGGGGTCCCTGCCCATGGCAGGGGGGTTGGAACTGGCTGATCTTCAGGTCCTTTCCAACCCAACCCATTCTATGATTCCCAAGGGGAATGCTCATAAAAGGACCTTGCGTTGTGAGCTGGGGTTTTCCTTTCTCAGCGCGTGGGATATGGGTGCTTTGAGGAGTGGGGATGCTCTCCTAGAAAGCATAAAGTATATGGATGCTGTATGGAAAGCACAACTTCCATACAGGAGCCTGTTTTGCCTCATTCCCCCTTTGTCCTGGGACAGATTCCAGGTGGTTTTAGCGAAGACTCCTGCGTGTTACGGGGGATCATGGTGAATAAAGACGTAACTCACCCCCGCATGAGGCGTCTCATCAAGAACCCCCGCATTGTCCTTCTGGATTGTTCCCTGGAATACAAGAAAGGGGAGAGCCAGGTAAAAAGCCAGGAAGTGAAATCATGGAATGCTGGAATGGTTTGGCTCGGAAGGGCCCTTAAACCTCCTCCAAAGCCCCTTCTCCACGTTTCCTGGTATGCTTCTCCTTGGCTCCTGCCTTGGAGGGGCTCAGATCCCTCCGTTTGGGGGGCTCTGGATGTAACCTGCAGCTCTTCTGTGTGCAGACTGACATCGAGATCACCCGCGAGGAAGACTTCGCCCGCATCCTGCAGATGGAGGAGGAATACATCCAGCAGATGTGTGCAGACCTCATCAGGGTCAAACCAGACCTGGTCATCACAGAGAAAGGGATTTCAGGTAATAACACCCCCTTCTTGGGGTTATCTCCATCTGAATGAGGCTCATTCTGGGTTAAATTCACCCTTTGGCACCCCTCAAACCAACCTGGTTTCCCCTTGGTTTGGGGCAGCTTTGTAGCTTCCTAACACAGAATTCCCCATTCCAAGGCCTGGATTTTGGGGCTTGAGGTTGCCTTGGGGCAATTCAAAGAGGATTTGGCTTAGCCAGGAGTTGGAAGGCATCAAAGGAGCAGTGAGGAGGAGCCTCAAAAGCTGCGCTTGGTGCCTTAAAGTGCATTTGGTTTCCCTTTCTAGAAGCTAATTGCACTTAATTAACATAAAGAGCCTTAATTAGTGCTGAGGGATGAATAAACCCCCCAAACCTGATTGCAGACCTGGCCCAGCACTACCTGATGAGAGCCAACATCACAGCCATCCGCAGGGTGAGGAAGACGGACAACAACCGCATTGCCAGGTCAATGAAGGCTCCCTCCTCCCTGGAGCCCTCTCCATGCTCCCATGCCATGGAATTGCCTCCTTCTCCCCCCCCCTCCTTTTCCTTCCCTATGGATGCGTGACCAACCCCTGGTTGCTGTGCAGGGCCTGTGGAGCTCGCATCGTGAGCCGCACGGATGAGCTGCGGGAGGAGGACGTGGGCACCGGGGCCAGGCTCTTTGAGGTGAAGAAGATCGGGGATGAGTATTTTGCCTTCATCACCGACTGCAAAGAGCCCAAGGCCTGCACCATCATCCTGCGGGGAGCCAGCAAGGAGATCCTGGCTGTGAGTTCCTGCAGGTTCCAGCCCCTCCGTCTCCTTGGGGAAGCCGCTGCTTCCCTTTGGAGCAGCTCGAAGCCAATTCCCGTTTTCCTTTGGCTTCTGGAGTTACAGAATTCCCGTCTCGTGGGCTGCACTCCACAGGGGAATCAGAGCTTGCCCACAGCTTTCCATAGGGAGCATGGGATGATTTGGGTTAAAGGAAGGGAGCTTAAAGCCATTCCTCCCTTGTCCTCTTCCTCCATCCCTTGGTCCAGGTTTCCTGCAGCCCCTTTAGGCACTGGAGCTTCTCTAAGCCCTCCCCTTAAGGAGCTTCCTTTTTCCTTCTGCTGCTCCCAGTACTGGGAGGGGGGGTGTTCTGATCCCTGCTCCCGTGTCCCTGCTCCCGTGTCCCTGCTCCCGTGTCCCTGCTCCCATGCTGTATCCCTCATCCCGTATCCCTGCATGCGTGCCCGTATCCCTGCTCCCATCCCCGTGTCCCTCATCCCGTGTCCCTGCTCCCATGCCCCGTATCCCTCATCCCGTGTCCCTGCTCCCATGCCCGTATCCCTCATCCCGTGTCCCTGCTCCCATGCCCTTGTCCCTCATCCCGCGTCCCTGCTCCCATGCCCGTATCTCTCATCCCGTATCCCTGCTCCCGTGCCCGTATCCCTCATTGCATTCCTATATCCCTGATCCCATGCCCTTGTCCCTCATCCCGCATCCCTGCTCCCGTATCCCTCATCCCATTCCTGTATCCCTGCTCCCATGCCCTTGTCCCTCATCCTGTGTCCCTGCTCCCGTATCCCTCATCCCATTCCCGTATCCCTGATCCCATGCCCTTGTCCCTCATCCCGTATCCCTCATCCCATTCCCGTATCCCTGATCCCATGCCTGTATCCCTCATCCCGCATCCCTGCTCCCGTATCCCTCATCCCATTCCCGTATCCCTGATCCCATGCCCTTGTCCCTCATCCTGTGTCCCTGCTCCCATGCCCGTATCCCTGCTCCCGTATCCCTCATCCCATTCCCGTATCCCTGATCCCATGCCCTTGTCCCTCATCCCTCATCCCGCATCCCTGCTCCCATATCCCTGATCCCATGCCCTTGTCCCTCATCCCGCATCCCTGCTCCCATATCCCTGATCCCATTCCCGTATCCCTGCTCCCATGCCCTTGTCCCTCATCCTGTGTCCCTGCTCCCGTATCCCTGATCCTATGCCCTTGTCCCTCATCCTGCGTCCCTGCTCCCATGCCCGTCTCCCTCATCCCATTCCCGTCTCCCCGGTGCGCAGGAGGTGGAGCGGAACCTGCAGGACGCCATGCAGGTCTGTCGCAACGTGCTCCTGGACCCGCAGCTCGTGCCGGGCGGAGGAGCCACGGAGATGGCCGTGGCGCAGGCGCTGACGGAGAAATCCAAAGGGATGACGGGCGTGGAGCAGTGGCCGTACCGCGCCGTGGCCCAGGCGCTGGAAGTGATCCCTCGCACCCTCATCCAGAACTGCGGCGCCAGCACCATCCGCCTGCTCACCTCGCTCAGGGTAAGCCTGGCATCCAGGTTTTCCAGTGCTGAGCTGCAAAGCTCTTCCCACCGGCTCCTTTGATCCCATTGGAGCCATCGGCGGGCCCCTTGGAGGGGGGGGAGCTGCGGGAGGTTTTGCGTTGAAGGATCCTGGTGGTCAAGGATTTGATGGATCCCCTTGAGGGGGATTTGAAGGCTTTTTGGCTGTGAAACGTCCTCGGCTGGATTCCCAAGCATGGAAACTCTGGAATCCTGGCATGGGTTGGGTTGAAGGGAGCTTAAAGCTCCTCCGGGTCTTGGAAGCACGGGCAGGGACGCCTTCCACTGTTGAACACAGCCACAGCTTCTCCCTTTAACCCTTTCCAGTCTCCCACCACCCTCATGGGGAAGAGATTCCCAAGATCCCATCCTAACCCTTTCCCCTTCCAGTTGGAGCTGTTCCTCCTCCGCCCATCCCTTGTCCAAAGCCATTCCCCCACCCCCTTGTCCTGCTCCTCCATCCCTTGTCCAGCTTTCCCTGGCACCACTGGAAAGGCCACGCAAAGGCCTCCTCCGACGATCCCAAGTGGTGATCCCGGCTTTCCCAACAGGCAAAACACACTCAGGACAACAGCCAGACGTGGGGGGTGAACGGGGAGACCGGAGCCTTGGTGGACATGAAGGAGCTGGGGGTCTGGGAGCCGCTGGCTGTCAAGCTGCAGACCTACAAGACGGCGGTGGAGGTGAGGCTTGGGGGCCTCCAGGGGTTGCTCCATGGGGCTGGAATTCCGGACTGGCTCCCAATGCTCTCTCTCCATAGACGGCCATTCTCCTGCTCCGCATCGATGACATCGTGTCCGGGCACAAAAAGAAGGGGGATGAGAAGAGCCAGGCTCCAGCAGCACCGGAGGCAGCCCAGGAATGAGGGATCCCATGGGAAGAACCAAGCCAGCACCCGGCTTGCTGCGCCTGAAGCTTTGGGGTGGGAGGGGGCTCAGTGCCCGGTGCAGGGGCTGGGCATGGGAGGCTCTGGAATGTCACGGTTTGCTTGGGAAATAAACCCAATCACGGCATTCCAGTGCCTTTTGGATGGGGGGGAATCCCATAAACATCAAGGAATGTTGCTGGAGTTTGGGAAAGGAGCCCCCAGGTTTCTCCCTGTCCTTTCCAGGCAGGAGCAGAATCGCTTCCCTCAAGAAGGAATCATCCCCTCTGGCAGGTGAAAGCCATTGCCCCCTATCCTGCCCCTCCATCCCTTTGTCCCAAGCTCCTCTCCAGCTTTCCTGGAGCTCCTTTAGGCACCGGGAGCTGCTCCCAGGTCTCCATAAGGAGACAAGGGAAAGCAGCAGAGCTGCCCTTGGGCCAGGGCTCCCTTCCTCCTTCCCACTGCTCCAACTGGTTTGGGAACCAGTTCCTGAACCTCCACCCGCAAGGAAGAGGAAGGAGCTGGGGAGGGACTTGCTCCCCCCTCCCCAAGCCAGGGCAAAGCCACAATTCCTTATGGGATCAATCCCACCCTTCCCAAAGCAACCATGGAAGCACTGGGCAAAGGGTTTTATTGGGCAATGGGGCTCCCCCTTTCCCAGGGCAGAGCAACCGGGACTGCATCTCCCTACATCCCTCCTTTTGGGGTGTTGGGGGTGTTCCCCCATTATCCCCAGTACCGGAGTTTGGCTCCGGTGTTCTTGGGCTGCTCTTGGGGCTTTGCCTCTGCCACAGCCAGGAGGTTTTCCGGCTCCAGCACCACCATGCTGTAGAGATTCCAGAGGAGCATGGCCACGAGGGGCAGGAAGCTCAGGCTGAAGCCGAAGACCCGCAAGGAGCGCCCGATGGCGTAAGCCAACCAATACAGCAACCTGGAGGCATGGAAAAGGGGGATAAAGGATGGCTCCAGGCCTTCCCCCCTCCCCATCACCCCATTCCTGCTTACCTGGAGATGGCAAAGAGCCCCGTGAGGAGCGGGATGAGCTTGAGGAGCTCCTGCGGGAGGTAAGTGGCCAGCACGGCCACGTTGAAGAAGTAAAGGACAAAGAGGTGGCCGGATTGGACCACGAAGGTGCTGTGGATCTCCACCTCCCGCCGCAGCTCCCCACAGGGCTCCAGCGCCCAGGAGCAGAGGCGGGAGACGCCGCTGACGAGCATCCCTGCGGGAATACCGGAGCCAAAGGCTGGGAATGGGGCTCCCCATGGTTAAAAGTTGGGGGGGGGGGTGCCCCCTTTTGCTGCTCACCCAGCACGATGGGGACGGTGGCGAAGGCGGCGCAGCGCAGGGTGTACACCAGGCGGGTGCTGATGGTGGGCAGCAGCGGGGCGTCGAAGGGCAGGAAGACGTAAGCCCCATAGACAAAGCAGGGGCACAGCACCAGAGCCCCCAGCACCGAGGCCAAGGCCTTGAGGTGGCCCCCGCCACCGCAGTCCTTAGCCCACGGGCACCTGGCTCCTTCACTGCCAGGCTTGGCCCCTCGCCCCTCCAAGCCCAATGGGTCCCTGGAGCGTGAAGGACCCATAGGGAGGAGGAGGAGTGGGTGCTGGCTACGGGGCACGGCTCCCCCTTTGCTTTCTTCCTGCTGCTTCTTGCCCTTGCCGGGGTTGTGCTCGATGCAATGCGGGTCTATGGGCACCATCACCACGGGGGCCACCTCGGGGCCAGCGCCGGCCTCCTCTGGACCTTCCCGGCCCCCATCCGGGCTCGCCCGGGCCCTCCCCGGGGCACGGTCCCAGGGCAAGGTGGCCTCGGGGTCCTCCGGTGCCTTGGGTAAAGGGGGGGCCGGGGCCAGCTCCATCAATGCCACCTCCTCCGGGGGCAGGATGGGGTCTGCAGCGGGCATGGATGGGGTCGGGGGGGGGGTGGTGAAACGCGGCTCCGGTTCCTTCCTCTTCACCCTGGGCACAAAGCAGTGGGAATGGGGGGGTTTGGGGGTCCTGCTCCTCCATCCCTGCATCCCAAAGCCCCTCTCCAGGCTTCCTGCAGCCCCTATAGGCACTGGAGCAGGGTGCTCCAAGCCCCTGTGTCCAACCTGGCCTTGAGCGCTGCCAGGGATGGGGCATCCAAGCCTTCTCCATTCAACCCATCCCAATGTCCCCAAACCCTCCCAGGGAAGAGTTTCTGCCCCACATCCCATCTCCATCCCCCCTCTGGCAGCTTAAAGCCATTCCCTTGTCCTATCCCTGCATCCCAAAGCCCCTCTCCAGGTTTCCTGCAGCCCCTTTCGGCACCGGGGCTGCCCCAAGGGCTCCCCTTCAGGAGCCTTCCCTTCTCCAGCCCCAGTTCCCTGCGCTACGGAGCCTCCCGGCCCCATTCCCAATGGGAAGAGCGTCGGGAATGGGGGAGCAGAGGCCGTGTCCCGTGTGTTCCCCCCCCCCCCGGTTCCCAGCCCCATTCCCACCGCCGGGAATGCTGCGGGACTCACTGGGACCGCGGAGCGGGGCCATGGGAGCCTCCGGAGCGCTTCCCCCTTCCGTGGCCACGGCTCTTCCGGGCCTTCAAACCGGTCGGACCGGTGCGAGGTGGGGCCGGGCTGGAAGGGGCCGAGCCTCAGCCCTGCCCCTTCCCGAGGGATCGGGGCCGGCGGGGCAAGGAGAAGCCAAAGGCTGAGCGGGGTGGGGGGGAATGGGCTGGAGCCGCCGCCATGGGGAAGCCCTAAAGGGAGCCCCCGGCCCCTCAGCCCCACGCTGTGTGTGCAGGGAGGCGTTCCCAAGGGATGCGGAGGGAATCCCAAGGGATGCGGAGGGAGTCCCAAGGGATGAGGAGGGAGTCCCAAGGGATGAGGAGGGAGTCCCAAGGGATGCGGAGGGAGTCCCAAGGGATGCGGAGGGAATCCCAAGGGATGAGGAGGGAGTCCCAAAGGATGCGGAGGAGTCCCAAGGGATGCGGAGGGAGTTCCAAAGGATGCGGGGGGAGTCCCAAGGGATGAGGAAGGAATCCCAAGGGATGCGGAGGGAGTCCCAAGGGATGCGGAGGGAGTCCCAAAGGATGCGGAGAGAATCCCAAGGGATGCGGAGGGAATCCCAAGGCCCACGCTGTGGGGCAGCCATGGCGACGCCCGCCCTAAGCCCGTGCTGACGCCTCGCCGCCGCCATCTTTGCCAGCACTAAGTACTGGCACGGCGAGAGGTTGAACTCTCGCGAGATGATGCCTCGCAGCGGCCGCCAGGTCTCGCCGGCTCTCGCGAGAGCGGCCCGGGGCAGGGGGCAGCCATGGCGGCCGAGCGGGGCCGGGGGCGGCGGCGGAGGCGGCGGGGCCGGTGCTGAGGGGAGCGGGAGCCGGAACCGGGCCTCGCCTTGCACCGGAGCCATGAGCCAGGGAGGGGGGGCCGGGGAGAGCGGCGAGCCCGAGGCCAAGGTGCTGCACACCAAGAGGCTGTACCGGTGAGGGGGGAGCGGCGGCGGCGGGAGGGGCCGTGGGGAGGGGAACCGGGGCGGGGGGGGAGCGGAGGGGATGGGGATGGGAAGGGGGGGGGCAGGAGAGGGGATGGGGATGGGAAGGGGGTGGGGGGGCAGGAGAGGGATGGGGATGGGGATACAGGAGTGGGGATGGATGAAGGAGGGGATGGGGATGCAGGAGTGGGGATGGGGATGGGGGAGAGGGGATGGGGATGGAGATACAGGACAGGGGATGGATGCAGGAGAGGGGAAGGGGATGTAGGAGAGGGGATGGGGATGCAGGACAGGGGATGGATGAAGGAGGGGATGAGGATGCAGGAGTGGGGATGGGGATGAAGGAGAGGGGAAGGGGATGGGGGAGAGGGGATGGATGAAGGAGGGATGGGGATGGGAGAGAGGGGAAGGGGATGGGGATGCAGGACAGGGGATGGGGATGGGGGAGGGGATGGGGATGCAGGAGTGGGGATGGGGATGCAGGAGAGGGATGGGGATGCAGGAGAGATGGGGATGGGAGATGGAAGATATGGGGAGAGGGGATGGATGAAGGAGGGGATGGGGATGGGGGAGAGAGGGAAGGGGATGGGGATGGGGATGGAGAAGGAGGGGATGGGGATGCAGGAGTGGGGATGGGGATGCAGGAGAGGGGATGGGGATGGGAGAGAGGGGATGGGGATGGAGATACAGGACAGGGGATGGATGAAGGAGGGGATGGGGATGGGGGAGACAGGATGGGGATGGGGGAGAGGGGATGGATGCAGGAGAGGGGAAGGGGATGCAGGACAGGGGGTGGATGAAGGAGGGGATGGGGATGCAGGAGTAGGGATGGGGATGGGAGAGAGGGGATGGGGATGAAGGAGAGGGGAAGGGGATGGGGGAGAGGGGATGGGAATAGGGATGCAGGACGGGATGGATGAAGGAGGGGATGGGGATGGGGGAGAGGGGAAGGGGATGGGGATGCAGGGCAGGGGATGAATGAAGGAGGGGATGGGGATGCAGGAGTGGGGATGGGGATGGGAGAGAGGGGATGGGGATGAAGGAGAGGGGATGGGGATGGAATCCCAAGGGATGCGGAGAAGGAATGGGGATGGGGCAGAGGGCAAGGGGATGGGGGAGAGGGGATGAGGATGGGGAAGAGGGAATAGGGATGCAGGACAGGGGATGGGAGAGAGGGGACAGGGATACAAGAGTGGGTATGGGGATGCAGGAGAGCAAATGGATGCAGGAGAAGGGATGGGGATGGGAGAGAGGGGATGGGGACGCAGGAGAAAGGATGGGGACGCAGGAGAGGGGATGGGGACGCAGGAGAGGGGATGGGGACGCAGGAGAGGGGAAGGGGATGCAGGAGAGGGGACGTGGATGCAGGAGAGGGGACGTGGATGCAGGAGAGGGGATGGGGATGCGGGAGAGGGGATGGGGACGCAGGGGGTAAGGCTGAGGAGTCCTCTCCAGTCTCCATCAGTACTCCCAGCATCCACCAGGTTGGAAAAACCCTTTTGAGCTCCTCCCATCTCCCCGTTTGTGGGGGTTCTGGGATGGAAGAGCAGGAATCTGAGGGGGTTTCTTGGAGAACTAAAAGGGAGCAGAAGGAACCAGTGCCTTTGGGCTGCACTTCCTGCCTGGAAGCAAACTGGTGTTGGAGCCATGCTCCCAGCCAAGGGGAAGGGGAAGCATTCCCAGTGTCCTGCTGGGAGGCTTTGGACCCAGGGCCTTGACATCCCAGCTGTGTCCTGGGATGCAGGTGTTGGCTTTGGAATCACTTTGAGGTGAAGTATCAAGGTGAAGGTATCACCCCCCACCCTGCTGACAGTGACCACGCTGCTGGGAAGATGAAGATGCCTCTTTTGGGAAGAGCAGAGCAGATTTCTGACCATTCCTTCTGGGAATGGGGTCAATCAGCACTTCCCCTCCCCAGTCACCCTTGTGCATAGGGACCACACTGGATCCCTGGGAGCAGTGAGCTCCATCCCGCTGCAGAGTGAGGGATACAGGGGCAGGACATGGAGCTGATGTCAGGTTTTGGCTGTGGTTTAGAGGTTGCTTGGTGTGATTTGAGCTGCTTTTTTGGGGGGGGGAAGCTCCTCCATTCCCATGTGGAGATGGTTGGGATGGGCGCTGGCCTGAAGCTCTCCCTCCTGTGTCCCTTTGCAGAGCAGTGGTGGAGGCCGTTCATCGCCTGGATCTCATCCTTGGCAACAAGGCAGCGTATCAGGAGGTGTTCAAGCCCGAGAACATCAGCTTGAGGAACAAGTAAGTTGGGCTGAGGCCTTGCCTTTGCTTCTTTCCCTTGGGGAAAATCCCTCTGGAGCCCCACGTGGAAGGTGGAGCCCCCCAGGAAGCTGCTGCTGGCCGCTGCCCCAGGGGAGCAGTGAGGTGTGGGGCGCTTCCAGCTGCTCCTGTTGGGAGGAGGGTGGCAAAAACTGGGTGTTATCCCATGGGATGAGCCCTGCTTTTCCTCTTCCATGCAGGAGAGGGGGTGGGGATGCAGGAGAGGGGATGGGGATGCAGGAGAGGGGATGGGGATGCAGGAGAGGGGATGAGGATGCAGGAGAAGGGATGAGGATGGGGATGCAGGAGACGGCAAGAAGAAGCACAAGAGGGTACGCCGATCAACCCGAGGGGATGGGGATGCAGGAGAGGGGATGGGGATCCAGGAGAGGGGATGGGGATGGATGCAGGAGAGGGGGTGAGGATGCAGGAGAGGGGATGGGGATGCAGGAGAGGGGATGGGGATGCAAGAGAAGGGATGGGGATGCAGGAGAGGGGATGGGGATGCAGGAGAGTGGGTGAGGATGCAGGAGTAGGGATGAGGATGCAGGAGAGGGGATGGGGATGCAGGAAAGGGGGTGAGGATGCAGGAGTAGGGATGAGGATGCAGGAGAGGGGATAGGGATCCAGGAGAGGGGATGGGGATCCAGGAGAGGGGATGGGGATCCAGGAGAGGGGATGGGGATCCAGGAGAGGGGATGGGGATGCAGGAGAAGGGATGAGGATGCAGGAGAGGGGATGGGGATGCAGGCGAGGGGATGGGGATGCAGGCGAGGGGAGGGGATCCAGGAGAGGTGATGGGGATCCAGGAGAGGGGATGGGGATGCAGGAGAGGGGATGAGGATGCAGGAGAGGGGATGAGGATGCAGGAGAGGGGATGGGGATGCAGGAGAGGGGATGGGGATGCAGGAGAGGGGATGGGGATGCAGGAGAGGGGATGGGGATGCAGGAGAAGGGATGAGGATGCAGGAGAGGGGATGGGGATGCAGGAGAGGGGATGGGGATGCAGGAGAGGGGATGGGGATGCAGGAGAAGGGATGAGGAGGGGATGAGCCCTGCTTTTCCTCCTCCATGCTGGAGGCTGATGGCAGTGCTGTGCCCCGTCGCAGGCTGCGGGAGCTGTGCGTGAAGCTGATGTTCCTGCACCCAGTGGATTACGGCAGGAAGGCAGAGGAGCTGCTCTGGAGGAAGGTTTACTATGAAGTTATCCAGCTCATTAAAACCAATAAGAAGGCAGGTATCTGGGCAATGGGGGTCTTCCCATCTCCCTATGGAAGGATGGTCTCCAAGGGCACGGGATTCCCATCATTCCCCTGCCACGAGCCCTCTCGTGGGGTTGCAGGTGCTCTTGGCAGTCACCTTAGGTTGAATCACCTCTTGTTGCAAGAGTTTCTCCTCCTTGCTGTTGGCTCTTGGTCACCAAGGGAGGAAGAGGAGGTGCAGAGCTAACCCCTGAGCTGCCTCCTGTCCTGCTTCCTCCTCAGTGCAATGGGGCTGGCCAGTCTGAAGCCTTACCTGGGCTAACAGAGCCTCCCCTTTCCTCCCTGCAGCACATTCACAGCCGTAGCACCCTGGAGTGTGCCTATAGGACTCACTTAGTGGCAGGGATAGGCTTCTACCAGCACCTCCTCCTCTACATCCAGTCTCACTATCAGCTGGAGCTGCAGTGCTGCATCGACTGGACGCACGTAACGGACCCTCTCATAGGTGAGGGCTTGGGCACTGGGTCTCTGGTGGGGACAGAGAGGTTTGGAAAGCTTCATTGAAGCTGATAAATGGGCTGTGGAGTGGAGGGGGTGGGGGGGATGGAAGCAGAAGCTCCTCCAGCTCCAACCCCTGCCATGGGCAGGGACACCTTCCACTGGAGCAGGATGCTCCAAGCCCCATCCAGCCTGGCTTTGAGCACTGCCAGGGATGGGGCATCCAAACCTTCTCCATTCAACCCATCCCAGTGTCCCAAAACCCTCCCAGGGAAGAGCTTCTGCCCCAGATCCCATCTCCATCCCCCCTCTGGCAGCTTAAAGCCATTCCCTTGTCCTGTCCCTGCATCCCAAAGCCCCTCTCCAGGTTTCCTGCAGCCCCTTTAGGCACTGGAGCTGCTCCCCTTCAGGAGCTGACCCAGCCTGGCTCCTATGGGAGCTGCTCCTCCTCTTGATGCCCCTGCTCCCTGTGCTTCCTCCCTGCTTGCACTGGGCCTGCTCTGCCACCAGTGAGCAGGGCCTCCCCAGCAGCCCTTTACCCCAGTGTTTTGTGGGATTCCTTCCTGCAGGCTGCAAGAAACCCGTGTCTGCCTCGGAGAAGGAGATGGAATGGGCCCAGATGGCATGTCACAGGTGCCTGGTGTATCTGGGAGACCTGGGTGAGAGCAGCAGCATCCTTTGGGGTGATGTCTACAGGGCAAGGATGGTGTCCATCCGTTCAAGGTGGCACAGCTCCTGGGAGCTCTTTGAGAGCATGAAGGTGGCTTTGCCCCAAAGAAAGAGCTGATGAGGGTAGGGAGAATGGGTGGTGGGAGAGGGATGGGCTCACCTCTTCAGGGTGTCCAAAGGGGCTGAAGTCCCAGCTGGGTTGATGGAGTTTTGCCACTCTCTGGCATGGGATGTAGCCTGAGGGCCTGGAAAAGGGAGGTGTGCCAGGGATGCACTGCTCAGCACCCGGAGCAGAAGAGCTTTGTCCCTTCCCTTAGGGGCTGCCTTCCAGTGCCATGGCCACTGAGACCAAAAGGCTTCCATAGAACCACGGGAGGGCTTTGGCTTGGCAAGGACCTTGGGCTCGTCCCGCTCCAACCCCTTTGCTGTGGGGCTCTTGCCCTCTGTTTGGGGGGGGTGGAGGGGTTGATGCCTGGGGGTTGCTTTCCTTGCAGCTCGCTACCAGAACGAACTGGCTGGTGTGGACACGGAGCTGCTGGCTGAGAGGTTTTACTACCAGGCCCTTTCTGTGGCCCCCCAGATCGGTGAGTGGGGGAGTCCGTAGCTGTCCCCATCGCCTTGCCACAAGCACCACGTCAGGATGGGGCGCAGGGGTAGGGCTCTGTGCTGCTGCTGCAGCTGAAAGGGGGGGCTTTAAGCTCTGCTTCCTTGCTGGGACCCCAAAGAGGGGTTAAAGAGCTCCTCAGCAATGGGTGAAGCCTCCATGGACTCAACTCCTGCTGAGCCCTGAGTGCCACAGGGAGCTGGAGCAGAGCCCAGAGGTGATGTAGAGGAGGCAAGGCCGTGGTATGACTGCTACCCAGGAGGAGATGGCCCTTGTTTGCTCTGCTTCCTTATAGAGAGCACGGGGGAAGGATCTAAAAGCACCACGCACCATGAGTGTGGCCAGTGGGTTGAGTGGTTCTGCCTCCTGGGTAGCCACGTAGGGAGAGGGAAGGGATGTGCTCTGTGGGCTCACTTCATGCCATTGCCCCTCTCTCATGACAGGCATGCCCTTTAACCAGCTGGGGACGCTGGCAGGGAGCAAATACTACAACGTGGAGGCTACCTATTGTTACTTACGCTGGTGAGTATCCTGAGCAGGGCATCGGGGTCCTGGGGCCACCTCCTTTCCTCCTTGCCTTTCCCCTTTGGGGTCCTCTTTGCAGCCCATGAGTTTGCAGGGGACGTCGAGAGCCCTGCAGGCTCGAAGCGAGGCACTGGGTAGCTCCCTTTGTGCTTTCTGGCTTGGATACAAGCCCCATAAGTGGGGTAGGGTAAAACGTGGGCTCTCTTCTCTTTGCCTGGCTCAGCATCCAGTCGGAAGTGTCCTTTGAAGGCGCCTATGGGAACCTGAAGCGGCTCTATGACAAAGCAGCCAAGATGTACCAGCAGCTGCGGAAGGCTGAGAGCAGGAGGCTGTCTCCAAGCAAGAAGAGGTGAGAGGGGGGCAAGGAGAAGGTTGGAAGCAGGACCAGAAGCATCCTCAGGCTCTTGGGAACTGCAGGGGAGGCTGCTTGGAGGCAGGGCTCCCCCGTTCCTGAGCTCTCAGCTCCTAAAGCCAGGAGGAAAGCTAAGTGCTGGCTCGTGGTAAAGGGTGGAAGGAGGCGTTTTCTTTCTGTGCCCAAGGGCTGGTGGCTGTTCCTGAGGGTTGAGGTGCACTGGGGGCAGTTTGAAGGGGCTGGAGGGTCTTTTTCCTCCGGTATTGAATTGAGAGCTGAGGTCCCTGTTCCCAGAGCTCTGGTCCATTGCTGCTTTACGCTCTTTTCTTCTCCCATCTTTTTAGAGGCAAAGACATTAAGAGGTTGCTGGTGAGCTTCATGTACCTGCAGAGCCTTTTGCAGCCAAAGAGCAGGTAAGGTGATGCTTATGGCTTTGCCCAGCCATCAGATGCTTCCTGCTGCCAAGTGCCGGGTTAGGACAGCAAAGAGGCCCTGTCTGTCGGTGTGCAGGGCTCTTGTGAAGCTGTAACCCCAGAAGCAAACCAACCTCTTCCTGCTGCAGTCAATGGGAAGCTTTGTCCCATCCCCGAGCCCTCTTTTGCCTTGGGTTCTCTGTGTCTGCCGGAGCGTTTTGGGGTGCCTGGGGATTGACCTCATCCTGCTTGCAGTGGAGCAGCACAGGCTGCAGGGGAAGTGGTGCTGGAAGGGACCTTCGAGGGGTCCCAATGGGGAGGGGGATGCGATGTGAAGTCGGATGAGGCTTCTGGCTTCTCTTTGCCTCTTACACATCATCTTCTCTCTTCCCCTTGACAGTCTTCTGCTAGGGCTGGGTTTGCTTTGTCCTTGTCTTTACGTGGGGTTTTAGGCCCTGGGGACTCCTAAGTGGCTGTGCTATTCCAGAGGGTGCCAAAAGCAGGGCTAATCCTTTCCCTCGACCTGCTGCTGTGCCAGTGCAGCCCGCTATGGGGCTGCCTTTCAAGTATTGCCTACCACCAGAGCAGAACCTCCCTGCTCCCCACTCATTTAGCACTAAAGAAAACTGGGGATGGCTTCAAGTTCTCCAGCTCCCATCCATTCCAAAGGGTGTTTTGCAGCCTGCTTTAGTTTGGAAGGGGGAGGCTCCCATGGGCTCTTGCACTGGATCCTGCAGAGGATTGGGAATACTCTTGCAGGGCTGTAAGGATGCATGGGAATCTGGTGCCAGGTCTGGCTCAGCTCCCTGCCCCTGGAGCTGGGTTGGGAATTGCTCATCCTGCTTTCTTCCTGCCTCTCGAAGCTCCCTGGATTCGGAGCTGACATCTCTGTGCCAGTCGGTGCTGGAGGACTTCAACCTGTGCTTGTTCTACCTGCCCTCTCCTCCTCACCTGAGCTCCAGCAGCGAAGAGGAGGAAGAGTACGAGAGTGGCTACTCCTTCCTTCCCGACCTCCTCATCTTCCGCATGGTCATCATCTGCCTCATGAGCGTCCACAGCCTCAAGAGGGCAGGTAACCACTGCTCCGTGCACCTTCCCTCCATCCCTTTGGCCTCGAAGCTCTCCACCTCCTCCCGCTGTCCCCCTGCAGGTTCCAAGCAGTACAGCGCAGCCATCGCCTTCACCCTGGCTCTCTTCTCTCACCTCCTCAACCACGTCAACATCCGCCTGCAGGCAGAGCTGGAAGAAGGGGAAAATCCAGTGGCAGCCTTGCAGAGCGACAGCCCAGGTAAATGGGATGGGGTTGAGAGAGGAGGGGGGATGCTCCTGCAGGCTCTTCCCTTTGCTTCCCTCCATCCCCTGGCAGCAAACCCCATCCCCGGGAGCCGGACGAGGCTCGGAGCATCCTTACCCTAAGCAGAAGGCTCGTGGCTTTAGGTGGGCTTGAAAGCTGCCTCCCAACCCAGCTCCTGCTCTCGTTTCCCACTGCCTGCAGACGACCAGGAGCCCCGGGAGGCGTCTCTGGAGCAGGAGGCTGAAGGGGCCTTGGGGAACCGTGAACCCCAAGAGGAGCAGAGGAAGAGCGACCGCCAGAAGAGCAAGAAGTACTCGCGGCTGTCGTGCCTGCGGCGCCGGCGGCACCCCCGGCAGCTGGACGAGAGCGACCTGAGCGAGGGCTTCGAGTCGGGCTCCAGCCAAGGCTCCTTGGGGAAGGGCAGCGACGGCTCCGAAAGCGCCTCGGACAAGAGCGATGACGAAGGCGAAGCGGCTTTCGATGCAGAGAGCGATTCGGAGATGAACAGCCAGGAATCCCGCTCCGACCTGGAGGAGATGGAGGAGGATGAGGAGGAGGAGGAGGAGGAGGAGGAGGAAGAGGAGGAAGAGGGCAGCAGCCGAGGCAAAAGCGGACCCAAAGAGGCCTTCAAGAACGGCGTGGAGGGCGCCGGGCTGGGGGACCCCAAGGGCTCCAACGGCTCCAAAGCCGAGGCTCCGGAGCCGAGCCTCAATGGGCCGGCGTCGCTGGCCACGAGCGAGAGCAGCATCGCCAGTAACCTGCAGGCCATGTCCACCCAGCTGTTCCAGACCAAGCGTTGCTTCCGTTTGGCTCCCACCTTCAGCAACATCCTCCTGAAGCCCAGCCCTGACCCCCAGCTCCGGAAGGATGGGATGGAAAGCAAGGCTTGTGTCAATGGAGAGCTGGAGAAGCCCGGCTTGGGCGAGCAAGGTAAGGAGCAGCCTCCTCATCCCTCCCAGGTGGTTGTGGTTGCTGGGTGGGAGCCAAGCCCTGTTCCCTAGGGCATGTTCTCCATGGGGACAGGTTTGGAGGAGCCAGGGACAAGGGCAGGGCTTGGGTTGGGTGTTTCCTGAGGAGGTGATGGGCACCCAGGGGTATGAGCGCTGAGCAAAGGGCCTGCAGCTGAGGCTGGATGCTGAGCAGCTCTGCTCATCCCGAGGAGAATTCCAGCAGCTTTTAGGGATTCGCTTCCTTTTTCCCTATGGGAAATCTCTGTAAGGAGCTGCTTCCAAGTGCTCCTGGTGCTGGGCACTGCAGGAAGCCCTTAAGGACACGAAGCTCTCGAGGTCCTGATCTTCCCTCTCTATCAGGGCCGGTTCCTCCCTCTTGGTTCTGAAGGTTTCTTGGGTGCTGATAGCAAACCGTGGCCCTCAGTGCCCTCCATGCAGCTCCCTTGTGCTCAGCTCACTCCTGGGAGCTCGGAGATCCTGGAATCAACCAGGACCCTTGGCAAAGGCCTTTAGGATCACGGAGTCCCAGCAAGATCCTCAGGATATGGAGGGTTTCGAACCCCTCATCTCCTCTTGCACAGCTCCAAGGTTGATGCCCGTTGACCTGACCAGCACCCACTGGCTCTGGTCCCTGCAGTAAATGATGCTTGGCTTCTGGAAGGGGTTTCATGCCTGCTTTTCCCTTTGGCTTGCAGACGAGGGGTCTGACTCCGAGGAGAGCCTCTCGAGCAGCAAATCCTGCAGGAATGAGCGTTCCCTTCAGGAGAAGCTGCAGATCATGAGCAACGAAGGGCTGCTGCTCACCGTCAAGGTCTTCCTGGACTGGCTGAGGACTAACACAGACCTCATCCTCATGTGTGCTCAGGTGGGAGCTGTGCTGGGTGCTCAGTCCCAAGGCTCTGGGTGCTCCGTGCCTCTGGGCTGGGATGCTGAGGGCACCATAAAGCTGTGCTGGGTGCTCAGTCCCAAGGCTCTGGGTGCTCCGTGGCTCTGGGCTGGGATGCTGAGGGCACCATAAAGCTGTGCTGGGTGCTCAGTCCCAAGGCTCTGGGTGCTCCGTGCCTTTGGGCTGGGATGCTGAGGGCACCATAAAGCTGCTGTCCCAAGCCTGGACAGGATGGGGGGGGTGTTAAATACCCCTCAGCTGCATCTTGCCTTAAGAAGGGGAGTGGAATTTCTCCTTCATCCCATTCTGAGGCCTGGGAAAGGGGCCCCAAGGGGGTTGGATCCATCCCTGGATCCATCCCTCTTAACCTGCGTGTGCTGTTGTGCTCCTGCAGAGCTCCCAGAGCCTGTGGAACAGGCTCTCCGTGCTCCTGAACCTCCTGCCTTCTGCTGCAGACCTGCAGGACTCAGGTACCGGAGGGGGAATGTCACATCCCAGCCATCAGGGAATGCTGTGGATGGGGAGGGATTTGCCAGGAGCACTTGGGTGCTGAGCCCAGCGGGAAGCAGCACCCACTGGGTGTTGGTTTAACCACCACTGCGGTTAGGTCTGAGCTCTGTTAAGGCATCCTATACAGCTCACAAGACCCTGGAACCCTCCCTGCTGTGCATGGAGCCTTTCTGTGGCCACCCCCAACTTTGGGAATTAGCCATCGAGGGGCTGGTTTTGCCCTGGCCATCACTGGAAGCTCCAGATGCTGGTGCTGTGCCCCATGCCTCAGCCTAAAGGTGGCCACGGTCCCTGAGCCAGCAGGGTTGCAATGGGGATGCTCGCCTGTGGGAGCACATGGCACAGAGCAGCCTCTTCCTCCCCTCCCTCCACTCCAGGCCTGGCCCTGTGCAATGAAGTCCAGGCCATCCTGAGCGGTGCTGAGCTCCCGGACCTACAAGCCCACTTGCTGCTGCCAGAAGACGTCGCCCTCCGGAACCTTCCTCCTCTGAGGAGCGCGCACAAGAGGTTTCACTTCGAGCAGGACAGGCCCATCTTTACCCCCGTGGAGGAGGTGAGCTGGGCTCCATCCTGACCAGGGTCCTGGGGCTGAGCCCCTTCATTCCTGAGCATCATCATCACCCCCCCCCCCCTTCCCCTTTGCAGTGTGTGGTTCGCCTGTGCTGCATCCGGAGCTCCGGGCACTTCATCAGCCAGCTGCAAGGCAGCATCCTGCAGTTCAACCCCGAGCTCGGCATCTTCATCAGCATCGCTCAGGCAGAGCAGGATGGGATCCTGCAGCAGGCCCAGGCCCAGTTCCACATGGTGAGCTGGGGGGGGTTTGGGGTTGGGGTTGGGGTTGGGGTTAGAATTAGGGGTTAGGGTTAGGGTGGGGGTTATGGGTTAGGGTTAGAGTGGGGGTTATGGGTTAGGGTTAGGGGTTAGGGTTGGGGGTTAGCATTAGGGGTTAGGGGTAGGGATTGGGGTTAGGGGTTAGGGTTGGGGGTTAGCATTAGGGGTTAGGGTTAGAGATTGGGGTTAGGGTTAGGGTGGGGGTTATGGGTTAGGGTTCAGGGTTAGCATTAGGGGTTAGGGGTAGAGATTGGGGTTAGGGGTTGGGGTTTGGGGTTAGGGTTAGGGGTTAGGGTTGGGGGTTAGCATTAGGGGTTAGGGTGGGCGTTAGATTGGGGTTAGGGGTTAGGGTTAGTTTATATTAGGGGGGTTGGGTTGGTTAGCATAGGGGTTAGGGTTGGGGGTTAGCATTAGGGGTTAGGGGTAGAGATTGGGGTTAGGGGTTGGGGTTTGGGGTTAGGGTTGGGGGTTAGCATTAGGGGTTAGGGTTAGAGATTAGTGTTAGGGGTTAGGGTTGGGGGTTAGCATTAGGGATTAGGGTTAGAGATTGGGGTTAGGGGGTGGGGTTGGGGGTTAGGGTTTGGGGTTAGCATTAGGGGTTAGGGTTAGAGATTGGTGTTAGGGGTTAGGGTTAGGGGTTAGGGTTAGGGGTTAGGGTTGGGGGTTAGCATTAGGCGTTAGGGGTAGAGATTGGGCTTAGGGTTAGGGTGGGAGTTATGGGTTAGGGGCTAGGGTTGGGGGTTAGCATTAGGGGTTAGGTGTTGGGGTTTGGGGTTAATGTTAGGGGTTAGGGTTAGGGGTTAGCTTTAGGGGTTAGGGTTAGAGATTGGGGTTGGGGGTGGTGTTTGGGGTTAGCATTAGGGGTTAGGGTTAGAGATTGGTGTTAGGGGTTAGGGTTGGGGGTTAGCATTAGGGGTTAGGGATAGAGATTGGGGTTAGGGTTAGGTTTGGGTTTATGGGTTAGGATTAGGGGTTATGGTTTTGGGTTAGTGTTAGGAGTTAGGTGTTAGGGTTAGAGATTGGGGTTAGGTTGGGGGGTATGGGTTATGGGTTAGGGTGGGGGTTAGGGTTTAGGGTTTGGGGTTAGGATTTAGGATTACGGGTTAGGCTTATGGGTTATGGATTAGGGTGCTGGTTAGGGTTAGGGGTTATGGTTAGGGTTTGGGGTTAGGGTTATGGATTAGTTTTGGGGTTAGGGGTTAGGGTGGGGGTTAGGTTTAGGGGTATGGGTTAGGGTTATGGGTCAGGGTTAGCGTTAGTGGTTAGGGTTAAGTGTTGGAGTTAGTGGTTATTGGTTAGGGTTAGTTAGGGGTTATGGTTATGGGTTATGAGTTAGGGATTAGGGGTGAGGGTTAAGGTTAGTGGGTCGGTTTAGGGTTTATGGTTAGGTTTAGGGGTTAGGATTAGTAGTTTAAGGTTAGGCCTTACATTGTGGGTTAGGGGTTATCATTAAGGTTTGGGGTTAGGGTTATGCTTAACCACAACCTCGGTTGCGCTTGGCACAAACCCCTTGGGTTTTAGGGTGCTGCTTGGGGAAGGGGCTGGGAGTTTTCCTCCTGAAGGGTGTCCCCTTTGCCCCTTTCCCAGTGGGAGCTTTTGGGTTTCCTGCTGGCTCTTGGGTGATGGGTGATGGGTGATGGGTGATGGGTGATGGGTGATGTGTGATGGGTGATGTGTGATGGGTGATGTGTGATGGGTGATGGGTGATGGGTGATGGGTGATGGGTGATGGGTGATGGGGACGTTTGCTTTGGTGACAGGCTGCCGAGGAGGCGCGTCGGAACCGGCTCATGAGAGACATGGCTCAGCTTCGGCTGCAGGTAGGAGGGGAGGCTGCTCCCAACCTCGCTCCTTTAGGGATGGGGTTGGGGGCCATGGCCAAGGGTAAAGAAGCTTCCCCCAGTGTCCTGGTGCAGCTTCATCCCTTTGTTCCCTGATGTTGCCTTCCTCGTGTCCTATCTCTGGTCATCAACGAGGGGAGCTCAGCACCTCCCCTTCCCTTTCCCCCTTGGAGGAGTGGGATGAGGCCGCTCTGAGCCTTCCCTTCTCCAAGCCAAACCTCAGGTCTTGCCCTGTAACCCTGCCACCATCTCAGTCACCCCCTCTCTCACAGCTCCGTGCCCTATTGAGGTGCACACATCCCGCTCCATTGGCCCCTTCTCCACCTCTCCTCCGGGTGCTGGGAGCTGGGAAGGGTGAATCCATTCACAATGAATGGGAAGTAAGGCAATCGTGTCCATGTGTGTGTGTTCCCAGCTGGAAGTTTCTCAGCTGGAAGGGAGCCTGCAGCAGCCCAAAGCCCACTCAGCCATGTCCCCTTACCTGGTCCCGGATACCCAAGCCCTTTGCCAGCACTTGGCTCTCATCAAGCACTTGGCCACCAGCGGGAGGTTCATCATCATCATCCCTCGCACAGGTAAAGGGGTCTCTCCCCATCCTCCCTTCCTTTTCCTGGCCCGTGTGCTCCCCGTGGCCTTCTCCCATTCCCACATGGGATCCGTGATGTACGGGAGAGCAGCTGGAAGATGGGAGCAGCCCCATTCAGCATCTCCCCTCTGCCTCCCATGGGATGAGGAATCCCAGCCCCATCTGGGTGGCTTTGCAGGGAGATGGCTTTGGTTTCTCTGTGCTTTCTGGTAGTGATCGATGGCTTGGACTTCCTGAAGAAGGAGAATGCTGGAGCTCGGGACAGCATCCGCTACCTGGAGGCCGAGTTTAAAAAGGGAAACAGGTATGGAATGGGAAAAGCTTGCTTTTGGAATGGGGGGCTTGGGATTTGGGCTGGGAGGGCCAAGGTGGGAAAGGAACAGGTTTGGTTCTTGGGGTGTGGGTGATGCTCACAACCACGGGAGCTCAGGACCCCTCCTCTCTCCTCAGGTACATTCGTTGCCAGAAGGATGCTGGGAAGAGCTTGGAGAGGCACAAGCTGAAGAGGCAGGATTTAGATGCCTGGTAAGAGCGTGATTCCCAGCGGGAAAGGGGCTCTTTGGGAGCCATCCTGTGGCTTTGCTTGAGGTGGTGCTGAGGGAAGGTCCTGGGGTGCTCATCTCTCACCTGGCACCAAACGCTCGGTGCTGAGGGGCTTCGAAGAGCCCTCGACAGGCACCAATCCTGCTCGAGGCCCTCTGGAGCTGAGTGTTCCCTCTGGGATCTCTCCATCAGGAACCTCTATAAGATCCTGGATAGCTGCAAGCAGCTGACGGTATCCCAAGGGAATGGGGAGGACGACGGCACGGGAATGGTCACCATCATCACAGGCTTCCAGCTGGAGGACCCCAGCGTGTTCTCAGCCCCCATGCAGGTCCGTGGGGTTCACTGCTTTTGGGGGGTCAGGGTCCGAGCTGCAGGTTCCGTTCTTCCGCCTTGGGGTTTGTCATGGATCAAGCCTTGGAGCCAGGATCCACACGTTGGGAAGGGCTGAATGGACAGGGCAAGAGCAGAGTCCTGGAGTCATGGGATGGGATGGGATGGGTTGGGATGGGATGGGGGGAGCTTAAAGCTCCTCCAGCTCCAGCCCCTTCCACTCAAGCAGCTTGGGATGGGGTGGGATGGGGTGGGATGGGATGAGGGGAGCTTAAAGCTCCTTCAACTCCAACCCTTTCCACTCAAGCAGCTTGGGGATAGGATGGGGCATCCAAACCATCTCCATTCAACCCATCCCAGCCCCCTCGCAGGGCAGAACTGCCTCAGATCCCATCTCCATCTCCCCTCGGGCAGGATAAAGCCATTCCCCTCGTGCTGCCCCTGCATCCATTGCCATAGTAACGGGGTCTGTGTGTGCATCCCTTGCTATGGTAACGGGGTCTGTGTGTGCATCCCTTGCCATGGTGATGGCATCTGTGTGCTTCTGTTGCCATGGTAATGGGGTCTCTGTGTGTGTGCATCCGTTGCCATGGTATCAGGGTCTCTGTGTGCATCAGTTGCCATGGTAATGGGGGGTCTCTGCATCCATTGCCATGGTAACGGGGTCTGTGTTTGCATCTGTTGCCATGGTAATGGGGTCTCTGTGCATCTTTTACCATGGTAATGGGGTCTGTGTGTGTGTGTGTGAATGCGTTGCCATGGTAATGGGGTCTCTGTGCATCCATTGCCATGGTAACGGGGTCTGTGTGTGTCCGTTGCCATGGTAATGGGGTCTCTGTGCATCCGTTGCCATGGTATCAGGGTCTGTGTGTATCCATTGCCATGGTAACGGGGTCTCTGTGCATCCGTTGCCATGGTAACAGGGTCTGTGTGTATCCATTGCCATGGTAACGGGGTCTCTGTGCATCAGTTGCCATGGTAACAGGGTGTCTGTGTGTATCCATTGCCATGGTAACGGGGTCTGTGTGCATCCGTTGCCATGGTAACGGGGTCTCTGTGCATCCGTTGCCATGGTATCGGGGTCTCTGTGCATCCGTTGCCGCGGTAACGGGGTCTCTCTGGTTGCAGGCTGCCATCCAGGCGGCCGCCGGCGCCAGCGTGGAGCTCAGGAACGTGCTGGACTTCTACAAGCAATGGAAGGAGCTGGGCTGAGGCCGCGTGGGGCCCGGGCTGGTGTGAACCTCTCTGTGCCCCCCCCCCTTGGAACGTGCAGCGTCTGAACCAAGGCTCCCGACCTCCAGGCTTGGACCCGAAGCAGCAGCAGCGGCGGCGGCGGCGGCAGTGGCAGCATCAGCACCATCAACCAAACCTCTCCCCCCAAAGGCAGCCCCCAAAGCCAATGGGGGGGCTCCAGCCTCCAGGCAGGCGGCTCCGAACGAGAGCCAAGGAGAGCTCTGCCCTGCTTCCCAATGGGCAGGGATGGGGCAGAGCTGGGCAGGCCTTGAACACACCCCACACACCCCCCACACACACCCCCCCACACCTCATCTTTTGGGAGCCATCCTGCAGCTTTGCTTGAGGTGGTGCTGAGGCCGTTCCCTAGGGAGGGTCCTGGGGTGCTCAGCTCTCACATGGCACCGAACACTGGGAGCGGAGGGGCTCCGAAGAGCCCTCAACGGGCACCAATCCTGCTCAAGCTCCGCTGGAGCTGAGTGTTCCCTTTGGGATCTCTCCATCAGGAACCTCTAGAAAAATCCTTAAGCTCCTCAAGCCTGGACTGGAGCTCCAAGCCCCCGAAGCAGCTTGGGGAAAGGGGATGCTGAGAGTGGTGGAGGCCTTGGGGCCAGGGAAGCAGAAAGTCCTTTCCTTTCCCTTCTTTTCCTTTTCTTCCCTTTTCCTTGTCCTTTTCCTTTCCTTTTCCTTTTTCCTTTCCCTTTCCCTTTTCCCTTTCCCTTTCCTCCCCCCTCCTGTGGATCCCTTCGTTTTCAAGGGCTTTTCCCCTTTTAATCCTTAGGGGGTTTCTTTGCCAATGTAGAAACGAGCTTAAAGGAGCAGCCCCCCCTCGGAATTCCTTTGGGATCTGGCTCCTCTTCCCACGGCAGAGAGCAAAGGCAAGGATGATGCTCTGGAACAGCTTGTTGCCTTGGAAGCAGTGTATTTATTACCCTTTCCCAGTGTCCCCCCCCCAACCTCCCCGCGGGCTCAGTGCAAAGGGATGCTTCCTGCAAGGAAAGGGAGCGCATCCTGGCCAGAGGGGAGGAAGACTCCGCTCCTGCTTCCCCCTTTCCCAGCTCTTCGCTTCCAGCGCTGGGGAATTGCAGCGGAGCCGCCGGCGGGGGGAAGATCCCGGTGGGATTTGTCTCCCAAGGAGCCCAACGCAGCCTCTCTTTGCCCGTTTTCCATGGGGTTTTTCCCCTTGCCACCAGGGGTTTCTGGAGGAGGAAGGAGCCCGAAGCCGTTCCCTGCTGCTAGAAAGAGGGGGCAGAACTGGGGTGTCCCCCCCCATCCCTCTCCTTGCATCCCTCCGGGGCAGGCAGAGGCAGACACGACCCCTTTGGTGCTTCCAGCATCCCCAAGGGAAGGGCTCGGTGCTGCCGTGGGGTGGATGCTGGAAGAGCTCATTCCCTGCGGGAAGGGACCTTGGAGACCTCCATCCGGATGGCGGCGCGGGCAGCCCGGCTCTCCCCTCCTGCCCCACCACCGGGCTTGGGGATGAAGGAATGGGTTGCTCCCATTGGCCTCCCTACAGCTCATCTGGATCAGTGGGCTTCGGAAGGAGATGATGCTCCAGAAGGGGATGCTCTGGAAGGAGATGATGCTCCAGAAGGAGATGCTCCAGAAGAGATGATGCTCTGGAAGGAGATGATGCTCTGAAAGGAGATGCTCTGGAAGGAGATGCTCCCAAAGGAGATGATGCTCCAGAAGGAGATGATGCTCCAGGAGATGCTCCAGAAGGAGATGATGCTCCAGAAGGAGATGCTCTGGAAGGAGATGATGCTCCCAAAGGAGATGCTCCAGAAGGAGATGATGCTCTGGAAGGAGATGCTCCCAAAGGAGATGATGCTCCAGAAGGAGATGCTCCAGAAAGAGATGCTCCCAAAGGAGATGCTCCAGAAGGAGATGATGCTCTGGAAGGAGATGATGCTCCCAAAGGAGATGCTCTGGAAGGAGATGCTCCCGAAGGAGATGCTCCCAAAGGAGATGATGCTCCCAAAGGAGATGATGCTCCCAAAGGAGATGATGCTCCCAAAGGAGATGCTCCAGAAGAGATGATGCTCTGAAAGGAGATGCTCCCAAAGGAGATGCTCCAGAAGATGCCTCCTCCATCCCCCTGGACTCAGCAGCTATGCAAGTACCAAACCACTCCCTCTTCTCCATCTCCTCCCATGGGCCCAGGCCAGAAGCTGCTACATAAAAAGGGGGGGCCCTAAGGCCCCGAGTGACCCTGGAGACTTCCCAGCACGGACCAGGCTGTTCCTGGGGATCAGGTAAAGCCCCCAAACCAGCACAAATCCCAGCGGATTCCTTCATTCCCAATCCCTTTCGCCGCATGCAGCCTTGTAGCACAGCAGGATCCTGCAAGCTCCATCCCTTAAGGGGAGGGGGGTTGGACCTCGAACCAGGGTTTCGCTCCTCCTGAGCCTCATGGTGCTTTCCTTAGGCTAAGCCAAGGACCCAGCACTAAAGAGCAGGATGCGGCCCCTGGTTCCTCCTCTTGGAGGTCCAAGCTGGGCTCCGGAGCTCCACTTGCTCTTGGTTGTGGGGCTGGTCCAGCGCTTTTCCCCCCACACACACACTGCGGGGATGGGGATGCACAAAGGGAGCCGCATCCTTTGGGTCCCAAAGCAGCGGCGCTGAGGTGGGGTTTGTGCTTCTTGGCTTGCAAAGCACCACAATGGGCTCTGGGGAGGGTTCAGGGCACAGCTTAGGGGGGTGCTGAGGCCTCGCTCCCCCTTTGGTGCTGGTTGGACTTAGGGGCCGAGCACCTCGCCCTTCTCCCAGCCTTGTCTGGGGGTGCCTTGCACTGGGCTTGGTTCCTCCTTGAGCACCCTGGGGCTGGCTTGGAGCCCAAGGGTGCTGAGCCCAGCGCAGGATCTGTGCACAGGGCAAAGGGGAGCGCGGGGGGTCTCAGAGCAGGGGTTGGCTGTGCCCCCCCCCCCAACCTTGGGTAGCTTAATAAAGGCCAGGATGTTTGTAGCCCCTGTCCTGTGCTCCTGTGGGGCTGGGAGGGATGGAGGGGTGGATACAGAGGGATGGATAATGGATGGAGGGATGGGGTTGGATCAATGGGGATGGAGCCCATGGGGATGGAGCCATTGGGGATGAATCACTGGGGATGGAACCATAGGGATGGAGCCAGTGGGGATGGAACCATAGGGATGGAGCCAGTGGGGATGGATCACTGGGGATGGAGCCATTGAGATAGAGCCATGGGGATGGAGCCAATGAAGATGGAGCTGATGGGGATGGATCAATAGGGATGGAGCCATGGGGATGGAGCCAATGAAGATGGAGCTGATGGGGATGGATCAATAGGGATGGAGCCATGGGGATGGCTCAGTGGGGATGGATCAGCGGGGATGGAGCCATGGAGATGGAGCCAATGAAGATGGAGCTGATGGGGATGGATCAATAGGGATGGAGCAATGGGGATGGATCAGTGGGGATGGGGCCATGGGGATGGATCAGTGGGGATGGGGCCATGGGGATGGATCAGCGGGGATGGGGCCATGGGGATGGATCAGCGGGGATGGGGCCATGGGGATGGATCAGTGGGGATGGATCAGCGGGGATGGATCAATAGGGATGGAGCAATGGGGATGGATCAGTGGGGATGGGGCCATGGGGATGGGGCAATGGGGATGGAGCCAATGAAGATGGAACTGATGGGGATGGATCAATGGGGATGGATCAGTGGGGATGGAGCCATGGGGATGGATCAGCGGGGATGGATCAATGGGAATGGAGCCAATGAAGATGGAGCTGATAGGGATGGATCAATGGGGATGGATCAGCGGGGAAGGATCAACGGGGATGGAGCCATGGGGATGGATCAATGGGGATGGAGCCATGGGGATGGATCAGCGGGGATGGAGCTGATGGGGATGGATCAATGGGGATGGAGCCAATGAAGATGGAACTGATGGGGATGGATCAATGGGGATGGAGCCATGGGGATGGATCAGCGGGGATGGGGCCATGGGGATGGATCAATGGGGATGGAGCCATGGGGATGGATCAGCGGGGATGGATGAGGCAGACGCTCCCGGCACCGTTTTGTGCGTTTATTTCCATCCCGTTACCAGGCACGGGCTGAAACCGGAGCTGTTGGGCGGGGGGAGGTAACGCTGGTGCTGGGAGCGCTGTGGGGCGCTGTGGGGCGCTGTGGGGCTCAGGCGAAGCCGTAGTACCGCCGGTACGCTTCCTGGAAGCCGATGAGGTCGGCGAGTTCATCGCAGGCGGGGTTGAACTCGCAAACCTCCCGCTTGGCCTCCAGCGGGTCCCGCACGGCCCCATAGGCACTGCCGGGGGCACAAGGGGGAGGTTATGGGGGGGATCCTGCAGCAGGGACGCCCCCCCCTCCCCGGCCATAGGGGTGGATGCAGTGGGGACCCCCCCCGGTACCTGTCATAGGCGTAATTCCTCTTGTGCCTCCGCATCTCCGTGCTGGCGCGTTTGGACACAAAGGCTGCGGGGACAGAGCAGGGGTCGGGGGGGGCAGGATGGGGACCCCCCCTCATCCATCCCCATCCCTATCTCTATCCCCATCCCTATCTCTATCCCCCTCTCCCCATCCCTATTTCCATCTCTATCCCCATCCCTATCTCTATCCCCATCCCTATTTCCATCTATATCCCCATCTATCCCCATCCCCATCTCTATCCCGCTCTCGCCATCCCTATTCCCATCTCTATCCCCATCCCTCTCCCCATCTATCCCCATCCCTATCTCTATCCCCCTCTCCCCATCCCTATTTCCATCTCTATCCCCATCCCTATTTCCATCTCTATTCCCATCTATCCCCATCCCTATCTCTATCCCCATCCCTATTCCTATCTCTATCCCCATCCATCCCCATCCCTACCCCTATCTCTATGCCCATCCCTATCCCTATCTCTATCCCCATCCCTACCCATCCCTACCCCTATCCCTATTTCTATCCCCATCCCTACCCATCCCTACCCCTATCCCTATCTCTATCCCCATCCCTACCCCTATCTCTATCCCCATCCCAACCCCTATCTCTATCCCCATCCCCAATCCCTATTCCCATCCCCATTCCCTATCCCTATTCCCATCCCCATCCCCATAGGGGTGCATGCAGCCGCTCACCTTTGGAACTGGGGGAGTCGGCACTGACGGAGCCCTCCGGAGCTGGGGATGGAGCAGAGGGGTCAGAGCAGCCCCATTCCCACTCTGGAATCACATCCCTGACATCCCCCCCCCCACCAGAGGGATGTGGGGCTGTGGGAGCAGCTCCCATAGGAGCCAGGCTGGAGAAGGGAAAGGGAGCCCTTGGAGCAGGCTCCAGGAACCATGGAAAGGGCTTGGGATGCAGGGATAGGGGAAGGGAGCTGGGATGCTCCTTACCCCCCGTTACCTGTGCGGCAGAGGCCAAGGGCCAGCAGGGCCAGGAGGGGCAGCAGGAGCAGGAGCCTCATGGTGCCTCCGTGCCGGATCTGCCCTCGCTGCCCTGCTCCTGCAGCACCTTTATAGGGCCCAGGAGCCCGGCCCTGGGTATTTCCAGCACATCCGGGCCCAGCCCAAGCAGCAATTGTGGTTTGGGATGAACTCGGTCCCTCCGGAACGCGCCGAGCCCGCAGGGAGGGGATGGAGCTCTCCGCATCCATCCTGCTCTCCGTGGGAGCCCGGGGCGCTCAGGGCCCCTCCAATGGATCCCAATGGAGGAGGGAAGGGGCTGGAGCGGAGCCCGGCTCCACCAAAACCCTTAAGTACAGAGCACGGGAGCCAAGCGGCGGCAGCGGGAGCGCATCCCGAGGGAACGGCGGCTCCCGTTGGGGGGAAGCATCCGTGCCGGAGCAGGGAACGGTGCCCACGTCAAGCAGGGTCCTGAGGGGAAGGGGGGGGGTGCTTGCCAGGCATGGACACTGCAACACGGTGGAGATGGGGACGGGGGGGGAGCATCCCATGGGAGCTTTATTCCAAACACCATTCCGGGGGTTCCAGCTCCTCGCTCCCCATCAAAGGCCTCAGTTCATGTGTAAGGAGCCAGAACCACGCTTCCCCTGCCCCACAACACCCCGGGCTTCACCCCCCTGCAGGGTCCAGAGCAGGAAACTGCCCCCCCAACCCCTCCAGTTCCCAAAGGCCCTCCCGGGTGATTCCTTGGCTCCGATCCCTCCGGGATTGGGACCCAGCTCCAGGGCATCCCCGTGGCCTCACCGCGGCTCCTGCAGGCTCAGGACCAGCTCTTGCTGCTCTTCATTGAGCGCCTGGGAGAGGGGAAGGAGGAGTCAGGCTCGCAGGGAGCCCCATGCAGGGCCCGGAGCTGCCTCTCCCCTCTCCCCTCCCGGGGCTCTCCGTTACCTGCCAGCCCCGGCTGTGGGCCTGGAGCCGCTGCTGCAGGTCCCGGATGCGGCCCCTTCCCTGCAGCACGGCCGCGGCCGCGCTCCGGTTCCCCTCCTGCTGCGTGCGGAGGGCGCGGAGCAGGCGGGAGCGGTGCTGGAGCAGGGACGGGACCAGGGCGCTGCGGGAGTCGTCATCAGGGAACCCTGTGGGGCGCCTGCGGGGGGGGGGGGGAAACGGGGGGTAAAGGGGGGAGGGTAAATGGGGGGTTAAAGGGGGGGAGGGTAAAGGGGGGGCAAAAGGGGGGGGAGGGTAAAGGGGGGGAGGGTAAAGGGGGGGTGGGCAAAGGGGGGAGGGTAAAGGGGGGTAAAGGGGGGAGGGTAAAGGGCAGGGAGGGCAAAGGGGGGAGGGCAAAGGAGGGGGGAGGGTAAAGGGGGGTAAAGGGGGGAGGGTAAAGGGGGGAGGGTAAAGGGGGGGAGGGTAAAGGGGGGGGAGGGTAAAGGGGGGGAGGGTAAAGGGGGGGAGGGTAAAGGGGGGGGAGGGCAAAGGGGGGGGAGGGTAAAGGGGGGATAAAGGGCAGAGAGGGCAAAGGGGGGGAGGGTAAAGGGGGGGAGGGCAAAGGGGGATGCAAAGTGGATAAAGGGGGATGTGGATAAAGGGGGATGGGGATAAAGGGGGATTGGAGTGGATAAAGGGGGATGGGAGTGGGTAAAGGGGGATGTGGATAAAGGGGGATGTGGATACAGGGGGATGTGGATACAGGGGGATGCAGAGTGAATAAAGGGGGATGTGGATACAGGGGGATGTGGATACAGGGGGATGCAGAGTGAATAAAGGGGGATGTGGATACAGGGGGATGTGGATACAGGGGGATGCAGAGTGAATAAAGGGGGATGTGGATAAAGGGGGATGTGGATACAGGGGGATGCAGAGTGAATAAAGGGGGATGTGGATACAGGGGGATGTGGATACAGGGGGATGCAGAGTGAATAAAGGGGGATGTGGATAAAGGGGGATGTGGATACAGGGGGATGCAGAGTGAATAAAGGGGGATGTGGATACAGGGGGATGTGGATACAGGGGGATGCAGAGTGAATAAAGGGGGATGTGGATACAGGGGGATGTGGATACAGGGGGATGCAGTGAATAAAGGGGGATGTGGATAAAGGGGGATGTGGATAAAGGGGGATGTGGATACAGGGGGATGCAGAGGGGGCAGAGAGCAAGGCCCTGGCATGGGAATTGGTGCCGCGCACCCCAGGGCAGCTCCGGCTCCGTTCTCCACTGCTGACTCCGGGCAATGGGAGCCACGGGAGGAGCAGTGGGAGGCGAGGAGCCGGGCTATGGGGGCTTTGGGGTCCCTGCCAGCAATGTGAAGGCCCAAAGGGAAGCACAAGCTCCTAGAGGGGAACACAGGCTCCTATAGGGCAGCACAGGCTCCTATAGTGGGGCAGCACAAGCTCCTAGAGGGCAGCACGGGCTCCCATAGGGCAGCACAGGCTCCTAGAGGGGCGCACAGGCTCCTATAGTGGGGCACAAGCTCCTAGACGGGAACACAGGCTCCTATAGGGCAGCACAGGCTCCTAGAGGGGAACACAGGCTCCTATAGTGGGGCACAAGCCCCTATAGGGCAGCACGGGCTCCCATACGGTATAAGCTCCTATAGGGCAGCACGGACTCCTATAGGGCAGCACAAGCTCCCATAGGGCAGCACGGGCTCCTATAGGGCAGCACAAGCTCCCATAGGGCAGCACAGGCTCATATAGGGCATAAGCTCCTATAGGGCAGCACGGGCTCCTATAGTGGGGCACAAGCTCCTATAGGGCAGCACGGGCTCCTATATGGCATAAGCTCCTATAGGGCAGCACGGGCTCCTATAGGGCAGCACAAGCTCCCATAGGGCAGCACGGGCTCCTATAGTGGGGCACAAGCTCCCATAGGGCAGCACGGGCTCCTATAGGGCAGCACAAGCTCCCATAGGGCAGCACGGGCTCCTATAGGGCATAAGCTCCTATAGGGCAGCACGGGCTCCTATAGTGGGGCACAAGCTCCTATAGGGCAGCACGGGCTCCCATAGGGCAGCACGGGCTCCCATAGGGCAGCACGGGCTCCCATAGGGCAGCACAAGCTCCCATAGGGCAGCACGGGCTCTCCTAGGCCCCCTTCCCCTCGGGCCGGGCCGTACCACGCAGGCTCCTCCTGGCTCTTTCCGTCCTCCACGATCTTATCCAGGGAGTCGAGGACCGCCTTCAGGTTCCCTTCCTCCATCACCTCCTGGATCTCCGCCTGCAAACGGAGATCCCGATCCCAACCCCGGCCCCGGGGGTTAACGCCAGGCCCCGTGGTCCGGCCCGGACCCCACACCCCGTGCCCGTTCCCCCTCACCCTGATGGAGGCCCGGAGCTGGGCCACGAACTGGTTGTGGATGCTCTTGGCCAGCTCCGGTTGGAGCTTGGAGAAGCTGCGGTAGCAGCTGGCGAAGCGCTGGTAGCTGCAACCGGAGGAGAAGGGAGGGGGGGGACACGGACGGACGGGAACGGGGCCGGGCACTGAGGGGGCCTCCATGCAGAGCCCCGGTCCCCGCCTCAGCCCCGGTTCTCCCCCCTCCTCACCTCCCGGCCGCCAGCAGCTTCTCGAGGAAGGCGTCCACCACGGTGCTGAAGAGCTCCGCGCGGCCTGGCCCCGGGGAACCGCCGCCATCCCCTCGGCTATCGCCTCCGCTACCGCCGCCATCCCCTCCGCTATCGCCTCCGCTACCGCCGCCATCGCCGCCGCTCCTCCCGTCCGCCATCTTGGCTCTCCACAGCCGGCCGCCCGCGCTTCCTCCCCATTGGCTGCCGCCTCAGCGCCGCGCCGCTGCCATTGGTGGCTGAGCCGGGGAAAGCCCGCCCACTCGGAGCGCGGGCTGAGGAGGAGGCGTGGTCTGAGAAGGAGGCGTGGCCTGAACGGGACGGGGGGCGTGGCTTGATGGGGACGGGGGCGTGGCCTGGCCGCAGGACCCAGCTCAGCCCCGGGACGTTGGGAAACGGCTTAAAACGGTCAAAAACGCGGATGCGCCCCAAAACCCCCCCGGTTTTAACGCTCCAACGGCCTTGGAGCCTTAAACGGCTGGAATAAACGCTTCCGAGAGCCCCCCCCCGCCATCCCCAAGTGTTCTCCATCACGGATGAAGCCGAACGCTCAACCCCGACCCATCCCAAGGGGGATGAAGGAAGCGAGGCAAAGCCGCCCTCTGTTGTCGCGACACCGCTCGTAGGAGCCGAGCAGAACCCGGCCCGTTTGGGAAGCGGGGTCACAGAACCACGGAGCTCTTTGGGATGCAAGCGACCCCCCCAAAGCTCGTCCAGGCCAAGCCCTGCTATGAGCAGGGGCAACTCCAAGCGGAGCCGCATCCATCCTGGCTCCAAGGGGTTTGGGCTTGGTTTGAGCCCCGCAGCTCCATCCATGGGCTTTATCCCGGTGTCTTTCCAGCTCCGTGTCCCTGCTTCCTCTCTTGCTGGCATTCCCCTCGGAAGGCACAGCATGAAAAGCACCAGGCTTTGACACTCGGGCATCACAACGAAGGTCTCTGAGGTTTATTATCAGTCCAGAACGTTGCTGGTGATGAGGGCCTGCATCCCTGCTGCCACCTCCCCATTGCACAGAGACTGGGACCGGCACCGGCGCTGCCAGGATGCTCCCTGCGGATCCTCTTGGATCTGCTCTTCCAGAGAGAACCAAGAGCAAAGCAAGAGAGGAGCAGCTGGCAGAGAGCATCACCATGGAGCGGGGGGACAACACAAAGGGGGCATTAAAAGGCTTTTCCTGCCTCATCCACGGGTACCATGGCGCTGGGCCCCTTATCCCCAGCAGTGCTGGTGGCACCTCCAACCAGTCCCTGCCGGGGTGGCAAAGACAGGACCCCCTCTGTGCAGCAGGATCAATGCAAGAGCCCAGAGTTCCAGCAGCAAGAGGATGGGAAGCACATCCCTTCCCTCTCCGGTGTGAACCTACCTGGGACGAGCAGCATGGCAACTCAAAGCAACCCCCTTCAGCTCTTCCCTCTTGCTTCATCCCTCGATGCCAAGTTGAAAGGAGCATGGCTTAAGCACCGCAGTGCAAAGGCAGCCCTGCCCTTCCCCAACAGGAGGAGCAGGGTTTCAACAGCCCAAAGTATTTGTAACCCATTACTTCCGATTCAATATGAACGTGCCCATCGGGTTGGGACTGGAGCAAAAGCCAGCCCAAGGCTTCTTCCTTCCCCTGCTGCTTCCCAACAGCTCCCAACCGCCCCCACCAAGGAAAAGGTGGGAAGTGGCAGCAGGA